AAGGGAAAAAATTAAGTGGACTCATTTTGAAAACTGTAAAACTGTGAGCACTGTTGTTATTAGTGACTCATCATCCTAGAGTACATTTCAGACCCTAAGATTCTCTTAGAATCTGAAAGCAAGCATCCCTTGGATCATTTTAGTGCTGGGGAAGGCAGGTTCCTTCTACTCCATTTGCTTTTTCACTGATTACAGTATTATAAGATTCCTACAGGGTATGAAACACGGAGACGTTTAATTTCAGGATGCCCTTGGCAGCTGAAAGGGTTGAAAGTTATTTAGCTTGAAAGAAACATATGTCACATGAGCAAAATATCACGGTTTTGAAAGAAATACCATTTGTGTCACTTCTGTTGGCAAATTTTCCTTGGTGCTGAGAATTCAAACTGTCAAATTGCATACAAATCTGAAATGCCAAAATGAAAGCCAAACAAGGCATGGCAATAAAGTAGAATTGTTTTAAGTTGATTAAATAGGTAATTGAGCAAATAAATTCTGCAGTCACATAAACAGCATTTCCGATGCAAAATCTACTCCAGACACTGAGGAAGACTGCAAGAACCACATTGTCCCTAATTGCAGATCCACCCTCCCCCAGCTACCAGAGCAATCAATTCATAAGCTCACAGTGGCTTCCTATTATCTCAGGATAAACATGGCACACCAAACCCTCCCTAGGACAGTCCTGCTTTTTTCTTTGGCTTCAATTATTACCTCCCCTTCTCTACCACTCCTTTAAAATTGATACATAAAAATTGTATATATTTATCATATACAACATGATGTTTTATTTTATTTTGTTACTTTATTTTATTTTATTTATTTATTTTTTTGAGACAGAGTCTCACTCTGTCATCAGGCACCAGGCTGGAGTGCAGTGGCTCGATCTCAGCTCACTGCAACCTCCACCTCCCGGGTTCAAGCAATTCTCCTGCCTCAGCCTCCCGAGTAGCTGGGACTACAGGTGTGTGCCACCACGCCCAGCTAATTTTTTTGTGTTTTTAGTAGAGACGGGGTTTCACCATGTTGGCCAGGATGGTCTTGATCTCTTGACCTCATGATCCGCCCGCCTCGGCCTCCCAAAGTGCTGGGATTACAGGCGTGAGCCACTGCGCCCGGCTTTATTTTGTTTCTTGAGACAGAGTCTTTCACTCCTTTACACAGGCTGGAGTGCAGTGGTGCCATCTCAATCCAAGAGGTGCAACCTCCACCTCTTGGATTCAAGCAATTCTTGTGCCTCAGCCTCCTGAGTAGCTGTGATTACAGGTGTGAGCCACCACACCCAGCTAATTTTTATATTTTTAGTAGAGACAGGGTTTTTCCATGTTAGCCAGTCTGGTCTCGAACTCCTGACCTCAAGTGACCTGCCTGCCTCAACCTCCCAAAGTACTGGAATTACAGGCATGAGCCACCACGTCCAGCCTTATGATGTTTTAATATATGTATAAATTATGGTGTCAACCAAAATTAAGTCTGTTGAGGCAGAAATAGTTCAATAAAGTTTTACTGGAAGCCAAATGTGAGGCCCTATCAAGGAAGACACAGCAACAAAGCAGGGTGTGTCCCAGAGTCCGCTTCGAGTTGGAAGGCTTTTGTGGGAAAGTGTGGAAGAATGGAGGAGGACTTTTCATACCAGGGTTGTTCTTTTCATTGGAGGGCACAATACAGAGGTTATCATCACTGGCTACAGATGATATGCAGGCTAAAATGTCTACATGCAAGACAATTAGTAAACTTCATGATGCAGAAACCAGTCACCAAAACTTGATGATTCAGAAACAAATCAGGTCCCTTTCAGTGTCAGTAGGTTATGTATTAATCAGTACATCAACAATTTGAGGGACTTGTGGTAAGATTCTTTACTCTGAGACAGGACAGGAAAGGACAGGCATCATAAGACCTCCCCCGGCGGGTTAATTTGGAAGCCTGCCCAATGTGACCTATAGGTTATCAATGAAGTGAATTGATATGTGTTAACTCACATACTTATTTTTTTGTGGTGAGAACACAAAATCTACTCTCTATATGATTTTAAAAATACAATACATTGTTATTTACTATAGTTACCATTTTGTACAGGAGGACTCTTGAAGTTATTCTTCCCATCTAACTGAAATTTGTATCCTTTCACATCTTTCCAACCCTTCACCCTCTCACCTGCCCCCGACTAAGTCTTTTTTTTTTTTTAATGTAGAGACAGGTTTTTGGTTTGTCGCCCAGGCTGGAGGGCAGTGGCGCAATCATAGCTTATTGCAGCCTCACACCCCTGGGTTCAAGGGATCTTCCCCCCTCTGCCTCCCAAAGTGCTGGGATTACAGGCATGAGCCACCACTCCTGGCCCACTCCTTGGCCTTTGGTGACCACTACTTTACTCTCTACTTCTGAGTTGTCCCAAATGACAGGATTTCTTTCTTTCTGAAGGCTAAACTGTATTCTATGGTATATTTATACTACCTTTCCTTCTCTATTCATCTGTTGATGGGTACTTAGGTTGTTGCTTCTATGTCTTAGCTGTCATGAGCAATGCTATAATGAATGTAGAAGTACAGATATCTCTTCAACATACTGATTTCAATATATATATATACACATATATATGTGTGTTTATATATATATATATATATATATACACACACACACACACACACATATATATATAACACACAGACACTTACCCAGTAATGAGGTTGCTAGATCATATGGGAGTTCTATTTTAAATTCCTTTCTCTCCTGCTTAATGCTTCAGCAACACTGAACTGCTTTAAGCTCCCCGCACACACCATATCTGTACTAAGTCATCAAATGCCTGCCTCTGTTCTTACTCTTTCTCCCCTCTTCCTCCACTCTTACATAGCATTTTAAGGCTCATCTCCTTCAAGACACTTTCCTAAGCTGGGTCTCATTTTCTGTGTTCCCATAAATAAAGGACCTTATCTTTATCACTGAGTTAACACATTGTTTGAATCATCTGTGGCTGCCTCCTCCTTTACCAAACAGTGAGTTTCCTTGGGGACAAGGAATATATCTTGTCTATCTTTGGGTCTCCTGTAGTTGGCAGCACATAATAGATGCTTAATAAATGTTTGAATGAAAGATCTGATAAGCTCCATATGTGTGCTGGATGTTGCCAAGAACATTTTAGATACTCGGATATACAATAACACTTACATGTTGGGTATTGCACAAGGAGTCACAGATATAACTAAGATAGCGTAACTGCCCTCTGGGTTAACATGCCTAAGACTATATAATATCCTATAATAGGTGTTACACTAGAGGTTTCATCAAAGTACTTTCAAATTCAGATGAGTGAGATTGAATAGTTCTGCCTGCGATAATTAAGTCTTTACAGAGCAAATGATAATCTAATTGCATTGGTTGGCAGTAAAATAAAGTTTTAAGTGACTTTGAAGTCAGTTATACCTGGGTTTGAATCACAGTTTATCTATGTGATCTTTTTTTATTTTTTAATGTATGTGATCTTTAAGAAGTTTTTTTTTTGGATTTTTTTGTTTTTTGAAATGGAGTCTTGCTCTGTCACCCAGGCTGGAGTGCAATGGCACAATCTTGGCTCACTGCAACCTCCACCTCCCACCTTCAAGCCGTTCTCCTGCCTCAGCCTCTCGAGTAGCTGGGATTACAGGCGATCACCACCACGCCTGGCTAATTTTTGTATTTTTTTAGTAGAGATGAGGTTTTACCATGTTGGTCAGGCTGGTCTTGAACTTCTGACCTCATGATCCACCCGCCTTGGCCTCCCAAAATGCTGGGATTACAGGTGTAAGCCACTGCGCCCAGCCCTTGAACAAGTTACTAGCCTCTCTGAGCTTCAGCGCTCTTATCTGTACAAAGGCATAGAAATCATTTTTACCTTATAAAATTGCCATGAGTATTAAATGAGATAATACAAACTTAGTACAATACCTGGTACCTAATAAGCACTCGGTCACTGGTAACTATTATTTTAATGTTACAACCAGACTTTGAAGGGTACATTATAATAAGCTAATCTGCAAAGGGGTGCAGGAAGAAATTCTAGAGTGGTGTTGGGTCAGGATTTACTGAAATATGGATGCTAGAAAACACATGGCTTGTTCAGGAGGAAGTGACAATCCACAAACGGGGAATTCAGTTCAAGCCAATTGCCTGGCAACCAAAATGGATGACATTTAAAGGATGCATGGCATGGTCTGGTGGAAATGATTCTGGGTTATAAGAATAAGGGGACTAATCTCCTACTTCAATCTCATTAGATAACGCCACGGTTTAGTCCCACTGAGCTTCATTTTCTTCATCTGTAATAGAAGGATACTGACACAGAGCAGTGATGGCTGCCCATGCCACCTGCCCCCACACCCATGATAGCTACCACGAATACATTTATCTTTTCCATCAAGCTGGGATGGAGCATTAGTATCCTCAACAGTTTCCCAGGTAGCTATCTCCAAATGAACAAAACCTGTTTGTGGATTAGATGTTTGTTAGGTTTTTTTTTTTTAAACCTGCTAAATAATACCAGGTTTCTTTAATTGAAATATTTTGTGTGAGCTGGGCATAGTGGCTCCTGTCTGTAATCCCAGCACTTTGGGAGGTCAAGGTGGACAGATCACTTAAGGTCAAGGGTTTAAGACCAGCCTGGCCAATGTGGTGAAACCCTGTTGTTGGCATGCACCTGTGGTCCCAGCTACTCGGGAGGCTGAGGCAGGAGAATCACGTAAACCCAGAGGCAGAGGTTGCAATGAGCTGAGATTGCACTCCTGCCTAGGCTACAGAGGGAGACTTTGTCTCAAAACAAAAGAAAAGCACATGTTGTGATGTGCTGGATTATCCATATTCACATTAAATGTTTGTTGCTAAATCATATTTAGACCTTATATCAAAATCTAATAACATAATACGTATGTATGTACCATTAAGTTAGCATGAATTCAACTAATGTTGAAAAAGCTATTTGTATATGCTCAAATTTTAACCTGATTTGGGGTTTCATTTAATTTCAGATCTGAAAATTCATCTCCAGACTACTGATTATGGTAACTTTTTGGCTAATCAAACAAATCCTCTTACTGTTTCCAAAATTGACACTGAGATGAGGAAAAGACTATGTGGAGAATTTGAGTATTTCCGGAATCATTCCCTGGAGCCCCTCAGCACATTTCTCACCTATATGACGTAAGTGATGACAGAAAGCTGCAATAAACCCCAGCGTGCTAGTGCAGATGAGCCCTCACAGTGATAGGTGGGGTATTAAAGGCGGAGTCAGACTTAAGGCCTTTTCCATTGTTTGTAACTTTAAATGCATTCAAATTTTAGCAACTGATCAGCTCATAGATCCACATTTTTGCATTAGAAAATGGATTTTATTGATTATAAACATGATTATATCAGTGGTGGTAGCCTCCATCTAAAGCAATATTTTCAGTTTTCATTAAAAAAAAAGTGTTGCCAATGTTTAAGGCATTAGTACTGAGGGTAATTTTATGTGACATTTTTGGATCAATTGTGATGGTCTGGTTGACAATATCTCAAAGTATTCTTAAGGTTGTATATACTACTCCTAATTCCCTTTGTAACAGTATAAGTAGCCGATGTGAAACTTATATGCATTTTATTTTTAGCGATCACCAGTGCTTCCAATTGTGCCATGTGAGCTCCTCATTCTAAAAAATGTTTGAACTTCCACACAATGCACTGCACTTTTATGATACCAATTAAAAAATTTTACTTAGTGCTCAAATGGACCATTTGAAATAGATTTGTGCCTTTCCAGTTCTCCTAGCTGACAAAGTGGGAACAAAGATCCACAACAGATGAGCTGTGTGTTATGTAGATAAAATTTAGATGTAAAGCACAAAGTTCTGAAGACTAGGTCCAAGCCCAGGTCTGGTGCCTGGCACTCAGGCATCAATGTATTTATGGAAAGAAAATATCAGTGAAAAAATGCTGGATAATATAAGCCAAATATTAGTCAAAGGGGAACAAAAGAACAGGACTTCATGTCAAATACTGTGCTTAGCACTAGAAATAGGAACTTAGAGACATGTTGTATGAATAAAGAAAACTGGGTGTTGGCTATGTGAAAGCATGGCTTTGGGAGAAAACCTAAGATTTTTAGAGGCAGATACCGAGAAAATATCATAAGAGAAAGCCTGGAAAAGTAGAAAACAGAGGCTCCTTCTGAAAGAGCAATTTCAACCTCTGTCTGGTTGAATGATAAAATGACAGTATTACCTCAAGAACTACAGAGTGAAAAACATCTGCTTATCTGACCAGGAAGATACTCCCTCTATCGTTCTATTTCTTCATCCTTCCATATCTCCATCATCCATTCGTTTTTAATTTTTAAGAGTGAGTCTTACTCTATCACTCAGGCTGGAGTACAATGGCGTGATCTCAGCTAACTGCAACCTCTCTTTCCCGGGCTCCAGTGATTCTCATGCTTTAGCCTCCAGAGTAGCTGGGACTACAGGCACCCACCACCATGCCCGGATAATTTTTGTGTATTTTTTTTTTTAGTGGAGATAAGATTTCCCCATGTTAGTCAGGATGGTCTTGAACTCCTCATCTCAAGTGATTCACCTGCCTCGGCCTCCCAAAGTGCTGGAATTACAGCCATGAGCCACCACACCTGACCTCAGAGTATTTTCCAAGGGTGTGTGTGTATGTGGTGCATTTTGTTGGCATCTGCAGGGCCCTTCCTAAAAAGTAAAAACCTTAAGGAGAAACCCAAAATATGACAGAGATGAAAGAAGATGCCGGTATTGCTCACAGAGCATTTTCCTCCTCCTTGTGATGGTTGAGAGGAAATAGAAAGTGCTTAGGCTTTGGGCTGAGTCAGATCCAAGTTCACATCTCATCTTCAACAGCTGCTCTGCAAGCAGCGATACCTCCTGCAAAAATGCCTGGCATGGATAATTACGGAGACAGTAAAGATTCCTGAGCTGAAGGACAAAATGGCCCTAGTTGTGTGGAAGGAAAAATAATAATCAAACTACTAGACAACATTTACAGAATATTGCTATATGCCGGGGGTTTTATTAGTTTGAAAAGCTAATAGAAGTGCTTTACAAACCTTATCTCATTTAACCCTCCTGACAAATCTTACTCGATTGTCACCATCACCATTCTAAGGATGAGGAACCTAGAACTTGAGTGCAGTCATCTGCCCTGGTCACAGATCTAATGAGCGGTGCCGTTATGATTTGAAATAAGTGTTAGCAGTAGGCGTCATAAAATAATTTTGCTCACATTTTAGTTAAGTTCAGAAAATCTGACCATGACAATGACAGAGGGCAGCCCAATTTTAACTGAGTCAGAAAGCTGCCAGGTTTTGTACTTTGGGGTTGGGAAACCATTCTCATATAAAGGAAATGTGCCCAGAATACACTGGGAAATGCTGTAGTTCTAAAAACAGCTGAGTCCTTTGGTCAAAGGTTCCTCTCACTGATGATCCCACAGATTTCTTGTTTCCTAATCATAGAATTTTTTTTTTTTTTTTTTTGAGATGGAATCTTACTCTGTTGCCCAGGTTGGAGTGCAATGGTGTGACCTCAGTTCACTGCAACCTCTGACTCCCAGGTTCAAATGATTCTCTTGCCTCAGCCTCCCGAGTAGCTGGGACTACAGGTGTGCACCATCGCACCCAACTATTTTTTGTATTTTTAGTAGAGACGGGGTTTCACCATGTTAGCCAGGCTGGTCTTGAACTCCTGACCTCAGGTGATCTACCCGCTTTGGCCTCCCAAAGTGCTGGGATTACAGGCATGAGCCACTGTGCCTGGCCCTAATCATAGAATCTTAGACATGGAAGGAAACTTAGCATTCATTAATTAAGCAAGCATCGTTATTTCACAACAAACTACTATGTTAAATATATACTGTTTCTAAAACAAAAGAAATATTTAAAATTTTAAATATTTCTAGTTATAAGCAGTATTTTTTAAAATGGAGTACAAGAATACAGATAGTCACAAATCCTGGGTAGAATGTCAACGCAAAATTAGAATTGGAAAGGTAGTTTTGGTAGTATTAATGTTGTTGCTAAAGGACATATTTTAATTTATCTATTCTTCCTATTGGCTATACATGCTTTGAATTAGTTCTTTTAGTATATCTGTTTGGACTTGCTATTACCTAATGGGCATTAAATATTTGTTGAATCAATATGTAATCCTGCATTCAGCAGTACTTTACACAGAGCTAGAAAAATACTTCCAGATAACTCAGCAGTTTATATTTTATATAGCACTCGAAAATTGTTGTTTTATTGACCATTATGTTAGAGGTAAAACTGGATGTCATGGCTGCAGATACATTTTGTGAGGCCAGCTCAATGTTTTTAAAAAATACACTTTGAGCCAAGCATAGTAGCACATGTCTGAAATACCAGCACTTTAGGACGCCAAGGCAGAAGGATCACTTGAAGCCAGGAGAACCTAGTGAGACCCTGGTGAACATAGTGAGACCCTGCCTTTACAAGAGAAAAAATTAAAAATTAGCACAGTATGGTGGTGCATACCTGTAGTCCCAGTGACTGGGGAGGCCGAGGCAGGAGGATTGCTTGAGCCCAGGAGTTTGAGACTGCAGAGCCATGATCATGCCACTGTACTTCAGTTTGGGTGACAAAGTGAGACCGTATCTCCAAAAAAACCCCAAACCAAACATACAAAAAACACTTTGAAGTCAAGTGTGGTAGCTTGTACCTGTAGTCCCAGCTTCTCAGGAGGCTGAGGCAGGAGGATCACTTATGTGCAGGAGTCTGACTCACCAGCCTGGGCAACATAACAAGACCCTGTCTCTTTAAATAAATAAATTTGAAAGAAACATTTTGTCAAGGCTGCATTCTTCCATTAGCCATAATCTCCAACACTTCTGTATTTAAGCTACTTATCAGACGCCTGAAGATATTTACTCTGTCCTACATGTTTTACCTACACCTCTACACAAGAACCCTGCAAAGCAGGTGTTTATATCTCCATGTTTAAAAGTATGGAAATGGAGAGTCAACGACTTAATGCATTTTCCAGAGCCACAAAGGTAAGAGACTTGAAAGGAATTCCATTCCAGGTCTATCAGTCTAGAAAGCTAATGATCTTGCCACTGTCCTGGTAGTTTATATTAAGGCAAGCAAATCAGAAATATCTGTGGGTCTTCAAAAACCGTGCATATTCTTGACTACTACTTCAGGAGATTCTAATCTAATTGGCCTTGGAGTGGGGCCCATCTGTATTCTGGAAGGCACCCAGGCTATACTGAGGTGCATCTCTAATATAAAATGTTTCATCAGCCATGAAGTCCTTGCCTATGCCTAGGTCCTGAATAGTTTTGCTAGGTTTTCTTCTAAAACACCAAAAGCATTGGCAACAAAAGCCAAAATAGACAAATGGGACCTAATTAAGCTCCAGAGCTTCTCTACAGCAAAAGAAACTATCATTAGAGTGAACCAGCAACCAACAGAATGGGGAAAAAAATTTTGCAATCTACCCATCTGACAAAGAGCTAATAACCAGAATCTGCAAAGAACTAAAACAGATTTACAAGAAAAAAACAAACAAACCCGTCCAAAAGTGGGAGAAGGATATGAACAGACACTTTTCAAAAGAAGACGTATATGAGGCCAACAAACATATGAAAAAAATGCTCATCATCACTGATTATTAGAGAAATGCAAATCAAAACCATATTGAGATACCATCTCATGCCAATTAGAATGACGATCATTAAAAATCTGAAAACTGGATGCTGGAGAGGATGTGGAGAAACAGGAACACTTTTACACTGTTGGTGGGAGTGTAAACTAGTTCAACCATTGTGGAAGACAGTGTGGCGCTTCTTCAAGGACCTAGAAATAGAAATTCCATTTGATCCAGCAATTCCATTACTGGGTACATACCCAAAGGATTATAAATCATTCTATTATAAAGACATATGCATACATATGTTCATAGCGACACTGTTTACAATAGCAAAGACCTGGAACCAATCCAAATGCCCATCGATGATAGACTGGACAAGGAAAATGTGACACATATACACCATGGAATACTATGCAGCCATAAAAAACGATGAGTTGGTGTCCTTTGTAGGGACATGGATGAATCTGGAAACCACCATTCTCAGCAAACTGACACAAGAACAGAAAATCAAGCACTGCATGTTCTCACTCATAGACG